GTCCCGCTCAGATCCCCGCGGTGCCTCACTCGCGGGACCCACAGCAGCCCTCGAAAGTGGCGACAGTGTCGCAGATCGCAGCCCCCCAGGGACGGCGAGGTCCCGCTCAGATCCCCGCGGTGCCTCACTCCGCAGGACCCACCAGCAGCCCTCGAAATGGGCGACAGCGTCGCAGATCGCAGCCCCCCAGGGACGGCGAGGTCCCGCTCAGATCCCCGCGGCGCCTCACTCCGCAGGAACCACCAGCAGCACTCGAAAAGGGCGCCAGTGCCGCAGATCGCAGCCCCCCAGAGACGGCGAGGTCCCGCTCAGATCCCCGCGGTGCCGCACTCCGCAGGACCCACCAGCAACCCTCGAAAGTGGCGACAATGTCGCAGATCGCAGCCCCCCAGGGACGGCGAGGTCCCGCTCAGATCCCCGCGGTGCCTCACTCCGCAGGACCCACCAGCGGCCCTCGAAAGTCGCGACTCGCGACAGTGTCGCAGATCGCAACCCCCCAGGGACGGCGAGGTCCCGCTCAGATCCTCGCGGTGCCTCACTCCGCAGGACCCACCAGCAGCCCTCGAAAGTGGCGACAGTGTCGCAGATCGCAGACCCCAAGGACGGCGAGGTCCTGCTCAGATCCCCGCGGTGCCTCACTCCGCAGGACCCTCCAGCAGCACTCGAAAGTGGCGACGTGTCGCAGATCGCAGCCCCCCAGGGACGGAGAGGTCCCGCTCAGTCCGCCGCGGTGCCTCACTCCGCAGGACCCACCAGCAGCCCTCGAAAGTGGCGACGGTGTCGCAGATCGCAGCCCCCCAGGGACGGTGAGGTCCCGCTCAGATCCCCGCAGCGCCTCACTCCGCAGGACCCACCAGCAGCCCTCGAAAGTGGCGACAGTGTCGCAAATCGCAGCCCCCCAGGGACGGCGAGGTCCCGCTCAGATCCCCGCGGTGCCTCACTCCGCAGGACCCACCAGCAGCACTCGAAAGTGGCGACAATGTCGCAGATCGCAGCCCCCCAGGGACGGCGAGGTCCCGCTCAGATCCCCGCGGTGCCTCACTCCTCAGGACCCACCAGCAGCCCTCGAAAGTGGCGACAGTGTCGCAGATCGCAGACCCCCAGGGACGGCGAGGTCCCGCTCAGATCCCCGCGGTGCCTCACTCCGCAAGACCCACCAGCAGCCCTCGAATGTGGCGACAGTGTCGCAGATCGCAGCCCCCCAGCGACGGCGAAGAGAGGGCAGGAGGAGGCGGGAGGAGGCGGGAGGAGGAGGAGAAGGAGGCGGAGAAGGACTGGAGACTGCAGTGCTCTATTCAAAACGAATACCCAACCAAGGAGGGTTGGGAAAAAAACACCAAAAGTTTATGTTTCTGTAGTTTCTTCTTCACAGGACATGATGGCACTCTTGATTTGGCAGGATCGACCTACTCATCAGCCTCGACTGCATCACCCTCCCCATTCCTGAACTCGGCGGCGAGCGAGGGGGGGAAGTGAGAAGGAGAAGGCCTTCTCAGAAGGCGGCGGAACTTCTCAAAAGCCCTCTGGCCTTCTGAGAAGTTTCTGTCTTCGGCGAAGGCTCACAAAACTTCTGAGAAGGCCAGGGGGCTTCCAAGCCTTCTGAGAAGGCCCGCCCCTTTTCACTTCCCCCCCTCGCTCGCCGCCGAACTACTCAGCCTCGACTGCATCACCCCCCTCCCCATTCCTGAACGCCCCCGAGCCTGCGGCGGTGGGCGCCTCGGCTGCCCTGGACGGGCTCGGGGCGTCCTCGGCGTCCGGTCCGGGGCTGCTCGGGACCCGGGCGGCGGGCTGCCGGGCCATGGCGCGGGCAGCGGAGTGCGTACGCAGCGCGCGCGCCGGCCGGGAGAGTGCCGCCCCAGAGATCCAACGCATTGAAAAAATCAAGACGAAGGCGTTTCGCAGATTTTGGCCCTTAGGGGTCTGGATGAAAAACCGGTCCTGGGGAATAGGTCGAGACTTCCAGGGACCCCGCATTGAAAAAATCACGACATCAGATCTCTGGGGCGGTCTGCCACCTTCGTGAGGCCCGCAACGGCCTCTGCGAGCCATTGGCGGAGGGGCCGAGCGGAAGATCCTCCCGTAGTGCCGAAACTGGGCCCCGGACACCAGGGGGCCTTTGGCTAATTAGAGAGGGGGCGGAGCAGTCTGTCATTCTGTCCTGGAGGGGCGGGGGGGGCAACACTCCGACCATACGCATATGCATCTGTATTTACGCATACTCCTGCACATACACATACTCTTACGCTTGTACAACTACAGATGCAGCTACGTATGTATACAAACATACACAAATACATATGCATCGACATGTGCATCGACATTTAACTATACATTGCAGCTGCATGTACGAATACATGTGCACAGACCTATCCATGAATTTACATTTAATAACAAAGTATAAAGGTCTGAATATACATACACGTAAACATAGATAGACAATTTCGTATACGACTACATATCCACGTGCATACACACATATACGGATATACATATCCACCGACCCTGTCGGCATGTGTGAAACATGTTTTTACGTTTGAATTGTCGTCGTCGCCGTCGCCGCTCACCCCGCTTCCAAGGCCAACAAGCGATCCAGCCAAACAGACATCAAGTAACGCCGTAACTGATTCCCAAACGCAATCGATAATCAAATCGGCCAGCGGAAATCAGACAATCAGAGCCCCTTCCCTTTGATCCCTTCCCTGCCGAGGGAGGGTGCAGAAGGAAGGTTGGCTTTTTGCGTGCCCGCTCGAGGATAGCGCACCCTGCGTGCCGAATGTCTGAGGATCTCTCAGGCGAAACGCCTGTTTTGCAGCGCTTCGACAGCCTGGGCGCCCCAGGATGCCCAGGTGGTTCCGGGAGTACGGCGGGACCGTTATTTACGAGGGACTGTGGCCCCGGGAGCGCGGACGCCGCCTAATCTGCAAAGAATCCTAGCCCTGGGAGCGCGGACGCAGCGTGATTGACAAGGGCCCCGCGTAATTCACAAGGGATCGCGGCCCTGGGCGCGCGGACGCAGCGTAATTGACTAGGGATCGTGGTCCCGGGAGAGCGGGCGGAGCGTAATTTACCCAGAAATCCTGGCCCCGGGAGCGCGGTCCCGTCTTAATGGCATTGTTTCTGGGTCCGTCGCGCGCGGCCTCTTTCTGGGGGGGGGGGGGGCGGGCGAGGCACATCGAGTTTTCTGTAGCAGAAAAATAGGTTTGCCTGGGGGGGGGGCAGGGTGGAGGAGGTCGAGGGGGAGGGCGAGGCGTCTTGGGGGCCTTTCGGGCTCCTCTTGAAGCCCTCTTGGGCCATCTTCAGGCCTCAGGAGGTAGGGGGGGAGGAGAAAGAGGAGGAGGAGGAGGAGGAGGAGGAGGAGCAGCAGCAGCAGCAGGAAGAGGAGGAGGAAGAGGAGGACGAGGGGAAGGAGGAGGAGGAGGTGGAGGAAGAAGAGGTGGATCATGATGAGGGTGCTGATGATGATTATGATGACGACGAGTCGTGATGACGATGAAGATGATGATGAAGATGAAGATGAAGATGAAGATGAAGATGAAGATGAAGATGAAGATGATGATGATGATGATGATGATGATGATGATGATGATGATGATGATGATGATGATGATGATGATGATGATGATGATGGTGATGCTGATGGTGATGCTGATGGAGCTGCTGATACTGACGATGAGGAAAGTACTGATGACGATGTGGCTGGTGATGATGATGCTGAAAATGATGATGCTAATGATGATGATGATGATGATGATGATGACGATGACGATGCTGAGGGGGGTAATGATGATGATGATGATGGTGGTGATGGTGATGATGATAATGAATGTGATGATAATTGTGTTAATGATGATGGTTTTGATGATGATGGTGATGTTGTTAATGATGATGATGATGATGATGATGATCATGATGATGATGATGAAGATGAAGATAATCGAGATGATGATGATGATGATGATGATGATGATGATGTTGCTGATGATGATGATGCTGGTGATGATGATGATGCTGATGATGATGATGATGATGACGATGATGATGATGACGACGATGATGATGATGAAGATGATGATGATGATGATGATGATGATGATGATGATGATGATGATGATGATGATGATGATGATCACGACGACGAGGAGGAGGAGGAGACGGCGCGCCCCTTGGGACGTTCTGCTGCGCGTCCCCCTGGCATGTCCCCCGGGCATCGCCCAATGGCATATGCAAGTGAGGTCCTGAGAGACGACCCTATGCCTCACAATTCTCAATCCCTTTCCAAGTTCGTGGGTCGATCATGCTTGGTTTGACCCCTATGGTGCTCTGAGACCCTCGGTGCTCTGAGACCCTCGGTGCTCTGACCCCCCCGCGCCCCTCGGTGCTCTGAGACCCTTCCCCCACGTCCTCGCCGCGGCGCTGCGGCGGCCACGCCGCGGCGTCTTCGCGGGTGTCCCACGCCGCCTGGAAGGGGTGGCGTGGGATGGCGAAAAGAGGAAGAAAGGAGGAGGAGGAGGAGGAGAAAGAGGAGGAGGAGGAGGAGGAGGAGGAGAGAAGGAGGAGGAAGAGACAGGGGGATGAGAAAAAGGAGGGAGGGGGAGGCGAAAGAGGAGGAGGAGGAGGAGAAGGAGGAGGGAACAGAGGGACGAGGAGGAGGAGGAGGCGGAGGCGGAGGAGGAAGAGGAGGGGGAGGAAGAGACGGAGGAGAAGGAGGGGGAGGAGGAGGAGAAGGAGGAGGAGAAGGAGGAGGAGGAGAAGGAGGAAGGGGGCGGTGGAAGGGGAGAAAGAGAGAGAGAGAGAGAGAGAGAGGAGAACAAAAAGACAGAAAGAGAGAGAGAGAGAGAGATCCGCTTGGGCGATCTTACCGAAACATCAATCAGAACGCACACATGTCATCTCTGGCGAAAGCGCCGCGCGAGTGGCTGCGAGCGCGCCGTGGGCCACACGCGCCCCTGGGAAGGCTGGCTGCGGGCGGATGCGACCGGGACGGCCAGGCGGCGAGAGAGGGAAGGGCAAAGGGGCGCGGGAATGTCAAAGGGTACGGGAATCTGAGGGGGTACGGAGAGAGAGGCCCACCCAGAATCAACAGAAGCGTGGCCGGCGGGTCGGCGTAAGCTCCTGTCTCACAACTGGGGGCCTCAGCGTGCCAACACCATCGTGCCTGCCGAGCGACCAAGCTGGAAAAACGAAGCTGTGACGCGCCTCACTTCTTGCGGATTGAAGATCCGGATATCGAATGGACCGTAGCGCGCCATAGATTGAAGTCTTGACGCCTCCCAAACATGATTGGAACTCAGAACGCTGTAGGAACGAAGCACAGCAAGATAGCGGTTCTTATCGCCTTGCCCGTCAATGAACAACATTGTGAGGAATCCCACTGCTAAGAATACCGCGATCAAAATGTACCACGACGTAGTAACCTGCCCCCGCAGCGCATCTGACATACTGCCGTCCCCCACCGGAGAGCCTGGCGAAGAAGAAAGAGATAACGAACCTGAAATGAACTTGGCACCCGGCTCAACGATAGGCAGGGCATGTCAGTAAAGTCGGAACCGGTGTCAGAGTCGACGCATGAGGCATATCAGAGCACATTCCCTCGAATGACTTGAAACAGCTTCTCCACGCGTGCACCTTTGGTCTTCGAGATCTCCTTCTTCTCGCAGCGTTTTATCCGACATCTTCGATACCACGAACTTCGACAGGTCGCCCACGGAGAAACCATATTCTGGCACATGTTTGGGCCCAAGAATCGTGCGGAACCACCCCAACTCGGAGCGACTGGGGGTCTTCTTCGCGCCCTGGGCAGCTGGCTCAGGTGCACGCCCGGCGTGTCCAGCAGCCGCGCTGCCAGATGCAGCCCCGTCCGCCGGCGGAGGCGGAGGAGAAGCTGGGCCTCCTGGATGAACCAGTTGCAGGGACTGGAGATGGGCCCCAAAGGTGCTCGTCATCGCCGCAGCCACCACCTGCCCTTGTTCGCGGTAGCTCTGCATCTCCTTATGCTCCCTCTGCTCACGACGTATCGCAACGCACTCTGGATCGATGGCCTCGAGCTTCTGGCGCTTCTTCTCCAGCATGACGTCCGTGCGCGGCGGCTCCGACGAGCTCGGCGAAGGGGGGCGCCTCCGCCCATCGCGATCGCGGTCTCGATCACGACGCCGACCACCACCGTCACGATATGGAGTACGCCCATGTCCTGAATGGCGGTTGCAAGACCACCCTGGTTGAGATCATCCCCATTGCCTATGGCCTTTCCCTTTTCCTTGGCCAGCCTTACCCATCGCGGCAGCCTCGATGGAGTAAAACGGTTCAACCGCCTCAACGCGGCTCGAGGCCCCTGAGCCGCAACTGACCATGGAGCAGCACGGGCGCCAGCCCGCGGGACCGCCAAGGGGAAGCCATGCAAGAATAACTCCAAGATCAACTCAGAAATCCAAACTGCACCCACCTGGTGCTCCAGACGAAGCTGGCGCACTCGAGCGAGTCGACAAGTTAGGCGACCCAGGAGGCCCTGGAACCCTCTCGGCAACGCACCCGGCCATTTCGATAGAAACGTCTGTACTCGGGGAGACTGGGCCGAGAAGAACCATCCGCGATTATCGCTTCTGGGGAAGATGTGGAACGACGCCATCGAAACACACAGCCATACATCCAGGCAATGCACCGCGCTGGGGGAACCATCGAGAGCAAAACGCGGGAGAGAGCTTAAAACGGCAAGCAAGGCATAAGTCATCGCGCAAGCATGTTCGGCACAGCCCCGTCGAGACAGCCAAAACATCATCTACGAATCGTCTTTTTGGAATTCCCAAGGGCCCCGGTGCAAAACCATGTTCCTGCAAATGGTCGCGGTGCTTCTGGAGAAAATGCTCGCGTTCGTCGAGGGCCACGGAAACGGCAACACCCGATGCAATGCCACCTATGGGAACCCCTCGAAGCTCAAAAACGAACGCGCCGAGGATAACTGAAGAGACCCAGCGGGGCACCGCCAAACATCGCGCCACGTCGGCAACAAAGAATGTTTGATAACATCCTGCCAGGGGGGCTGTCTCGGGGAGCCAGGAAAACCTGCCGACGGCACTCTTCTATCAGCATGCTATCCGCGCCTAGGGAATCGCGAATTGCAGGCACGACACGGGCGCGAGGAACTGGCGCGATTGGCACTGCAGCGACCAAACGCTTGGTCTGCATCCACTGGAATGATAGAGATGAGGAAGAACAGCAGAACAGCAGCACCAACGAGAAGCACGCGCTCCTGGGACCTCCGCGCGCACGCGCCCCAGGGAATTCGCGGCCTGGCTCAGGTCGAGCACCTCGTCGGCGACGCCGCCGCGGTTCAGGGGGCGCCGAGCTGCGCGCCCCACGCACCTGCAGCCCCAAAAGCCCAGCGCGCCCTGGCCGCCCATGACTCGCCGGAAGCAAGAACGACCATGACTGGGGCGCGCGGACTCACCAGATGAAGCGAATCACGTCTCCTTCACCAGCGGAAAAATGCAAGGAGCAATTGTCGGCCCGGTAGACGACTAGCATACCTGCCAAGGTTGGAGCCACGGAGGGGGCCCCGAAATAGCGCGGCCCCGCAACCACGTCTTCACATCATCGGGGCCGAGATCAGAACGCATCTGCCAACTGGAATCCTGGCAAATACTTTGAAATCGATAACGTTGACAATCATGGCCATCCAAACACCAGGCAAGGTCAGTCTCTTATCTGCCGCAGAAACGATCATGCCCGAATCCGCCGCCCACGAAACTGACGATGATCTGACATGCTCCATCTCTGCCCACTTCCACGGAAAACCCCCGCCTTCGAATAGTCGCAGCGCGCGAACCATCGTTTAAGACGGCGTAGACCTCGTCGAAATACAACTGGATGAAGGCGGGCTTACGCTGACCAGTGGGCCAGGCTTGACATCGGACACCCAGGAACTTCTCGCCGCTTCAGCCATTGAGGAAAATTCCACTTGCCAGGAAGACAACCAAGACCACATGGCGGGAAGGGACGAGCGACTGGAGCAGACCAGAGAGGGCCACACGTTGACCCCCTGCAAAAGCGATTGATGGAACATCGTCAGACCAGACTCCCCGACGAAGAAATGCGATCCTCGCGTGCTTCTTGCACCGAGCCCGCGCAGGTTCACAACGGATTGCGCCAATAACTTCAGCCAGGGCCTTCCGCCGGCGAGAACGCCCTGGCCCACGTTGAAATTCACGCGGAACAACAAGACGCGGCACGCAGAGCGAGGGAAAACCAAGGCCCGTCACGATCTTGTTCACGTGGGACCTCGCCATCACCCGGCGGCAGCACGACGACAAGAACGCTGGAATGCGAATCGCGGACTTGGACAAAAACGCACCAATATCTCTACGACTCCACCGAGATAGCGGAAGATATCCGCCGACCCCAGAGGCGTGTGCGATATCCTTCTGGGCTGGATACTACACCCGACCATTTCTCGCCCGAAACTGCCACCTGGCTCCGACACCACGATTCTTCTCCCAAAACCGCCAACATTCCCCTCCCCGCCCCCCACCTGGCCCCGACATCCCCACCCCAGATTGCCTCTGTTCTTGGGACTCCCCACCCGACGATTCCTCTTTCAAAAACGTCCAACGCCCTTCTCCCCGCCCCCCACCTGGCCCCGACATCCCCACCCCAGATTGCTCTGGTTCTTGGGACCCCCCACTCCACGATTCCTCTCCCAAAAACGTCCAAGGCTCCTCTCCCCGCCCCCGACCTGGCCTCGACGTCCCCAACCCAGATTGCCTCCTTTCAAAAACGTCCAACGCCCTTCTCCCCGCCTTCCACCTGGCCCCGACATCCCCACCCCAGATTGCCTCTGGTTCTTGAGACCCCCCACCCCACGATTCCTCTCCCAAAAACGTCCAACGCCCTCCTCCCCGCCCCCCACCTGGCCCCGACATCCCCACCCCAGATTGCATCCGTTCTTGGGACCCCCCATCCCACGATTCCTCGCCCAAAAACGTCCAACGCCCCCCTCCCCGCCCCCCACCTGGCCCCGCCCAGATTGCCTCTGTTCTTGCACCCCCCACCCCACGATTCCTCTCCCAAAACTCCAACGCCCCCCTTCCCCGCCCCCCCCCCCCACTGGCCCCGACATCCCCGCCCCAGATTGCCTGGCCCCGACATCCCCACCCCAGATTGCCTCTTTTCTTGCGATTCCCCACCCCACGATTCCTCTCCCAAAAACGTCCAACGCCCCCCTCCCCGCCCCCCCACCTGGCCCCGACATCCCCGCCCCAGATTGTCTCTGTTCTTGGGACCCCCCACCCCGCGATTCCTCTCCCAAACACATCCAACGCCCCCCTCCCCGCTCTCCACCTGGCCCCGACATCCCCACCCCAGATTGCCTCTGTTCTTGGGACCCCCCACCCCACGCTTCCTCTCCCAAAAACGTCCAACGCTCTCCTCCCCGCCCCCCACCTGGCCCCGACATCCCCACCCCAGATTGCCTCTGTTCTTGGGACCCCCCACCCCGCGATTCCTCTCCTAAAAACGTCCAAGGCCCCCCTCCCCGCCCCCCCACCTGGCCCCGAC